TTTCCTGTTTTGGGGTGAATTACCGGCAAACGGTGCTGGCCTCGATGACACAAGTGTGAGCCGTTCATAGCTGCTTGCGTGAGGCCACCTTGCCTGCGCTCAAACTCGTACATGCCTTGGATGAATGCTGCTGTGAAGCCACGTGCGCGAAAGTGGCGGCGGCCCGATCCACTGCCCCTCATGGGAGCGCCTGTTGCCCGAATGGGGGCGTAGTGAATCGCCGTATGGAGATACTCTCCTCTGCAGTCGTACACGAGTTCGGCCACGCGCACAACGTGCTTCATCTCCTGGAAGAGGCACCGTCGCCACTGGAGCACTTGCTCGTCGTCTGCCTCGCGAAGTGGGTGAAACCGGCGGCGGCCTCGGGGATTCGACAGAGCGCCCCTTGCCTGGGTATCGCGGTGGCTTTGAAGCGTCAGTGGTGCGTCGCCGTCAACAGTGAAGAGCCCAAACTGTTCGCTGATCTCCCTCTCGTCTTTCACCTTGCATTCATATGGAAGAAACGTGCGGAACCATTGCCATTTTGGACCCGCGGAGCTCACGTACACGTCGGTGGCGTCCACGTCTGGATCGTGTCGCCGGGAGCTCTTGCGCTTATCCGCCATCGTTGTCACTCCGCTTGAATGACAGAAGCATGGATGCCTACTGCTTCCTCATCCATCACACACATCCACACAACACGCAGCCAGCCCCTTGCCAGATCTAGTGATTTTCCTAAATCTAGTGTTTTTTCTACATCTAGTGTTTTTGCTCAATCTAGCTGGTGGCTGGTAACACGCAAATACGTGAAGTCGCGGGACGATTGTCATTTCCATGGCAAACCCAGCAACACAGCGCCGTCGCCCTGAGGAACTCGCCGCAGTTACATCGCACTCGTGCCTGCCTCATCGTACATGGCGCCCCCCAGACAACGGAGGGCAATTGATGCAACGTGGTTGCCGGGTGCTTGCAATGACAAGCTGCACAGTCCCCTGTTGCAAGGAAAATCGTTTGTTACGAAGGTACACGGACACAGAAGGCACACACTGGCACGGCATCATGCGTGCTTCCGTGGCGGTGTTTACGGATGGATCATTTTCTCGCTGATCCTGAAACAACAATCATGCGCGGACCCAGGCTTGCCAGACCAAGAACCCTCGGTGTGCGCCGCCGGAGGCAAGCTCCAAGCCACATTTGCTCAGGTGGACGCCATGTGGGCTACGGGCCGTGTTCCGCCGAGGTCCTTTCGCCCTCCTGCTCGTGTTCGTCGACCGCTCGCCATGGACGCCATGCAGACAGAAGCTCTCCCGATTCAGCAGCCACATCAACACCCGTCGCATCAGCAACAGCAGCAGCGTGAGCAACAAGACGTAAGTGATTGACTCTCATTGTCCATGGCACATTGCTCTCTGCTGCTAGATCTGTCTTTGTTGCTAGATCTGTCTTTGTTGCTAGATCTGTCTTTGTTGCTAGATCTGTCTTTGCTGCTAGATCTGTCTTTGCTGCTAGATCTGCCTTTGCTGCTAGATCTGTCTTTGGTGCTAGATCTGTCTTTGTTGCTAGATCTGTCTTTGTTGCTAGATCTGTCTTTGTTGCTAGATCTGTCTTTGTTGCTAGATCTGTCTTTGCTGCTAGATCTGCCTTTGCTGCTAGATCTGTCTTTGCTGCTAGATCTGTCTTTGTTGTTAGATCTGTCTTTGCTGCTAGATCTGTCTTCACGCAGAGTTGACCTGCATTCCTGCATTGCATCTCGTTTTATTTCACGCGCTACCGGTCCAAAACGAAAACACACACCTTCAACCAGGATGACGACAAGTCCCGTGTTCCTCAAGCAATGGCATCCACGCTGCAGCCCAGCCAAGACGTGCGGACCGCACGCACGGAGGCAGATGAATCGGGGAAGTCTACCACGCGCCATTCCCAACAGCAGCTAGAGGCGAGTTACTTCCATACCATCACGCAGAAACACACTCACATACAACACACAACTAACGCTTTGCTTGCCTGAACATGGCTGGTAACATTGCCGTTTTGCACCCATGATGATCTCATCTCTACCACGGTACGACAACTCATCATAGCTCATTCATTCCTATGCACATATTCACACGCACACAGCCTCTGTTCAAGCAAGAGGACACCACTGAGCGGCAGAATGTTCTACAGGACGTGCGTCACGGGCACACACAATTCCGTTTCACATACACGCACACGCATGCGTGCAATCATGCACGCATATACATGCAGCGTTCATTCTTTTTGCCCATGAAACCCCACAGTCTTGTCTCCTCCTCTCACATTTGTGTCAACGTGATGCTTTACAACGTGCCTTCCACTGCGTTAACGCCATAGGCCACACCCGAAGCAACGCAGCCTGAACAGCAGCAACCTGACCAGCAAGACGTAAGTGATTGACTCTCATTGTCCATGGCACATTGCTCTCTGCTGCTAGATCTGCCTTTGTTGCTAGATCTGTCTTTGTTGCTAGATCTGTCTTTGCTGCTAGATCTGTCTTTGTTGCTAGATCTGTCTTTGTTGCTAGATCTGTCTTTGTTGCTAGATCTGTCTTTGTATTAGCGCTGCATACCGTACTGCTCAACACACACACACGCATACTCACACACAAGGTAATTGTGCCCGAGACACCGCCGGAACTGCAGCCACAGACGGTTGACCAGCTGGATATGCAGCAGGAAGATGTGCTGCTCAACCACGATGATGTACGTGACGCCCTAGAATACAAACACTGTGTGCGTGAGCCATGCTCATAGGTTGTTGTTTGCTTCGGTGCTAGTCAGCCATACCACATGACGCTCCGCCCATGTACGACTGCTCATCTCAGCTTGCATGGAATGGCTGATGCCCAGATCACGGATCTTTGCAAGTCATAC